ATATTGCATAAAATTATAATAATTCTATTTTAAATTAGACAAATACAATTAGGAATTATAAATATTTGAAATAGGAATTTTAAACTTTATAATTCTATAAATAAATAAAGAATAAAATATATATTTAAGTATAGTATCTTTGTGAATAAAAATAATTGTCTTAATATTATGTTTATATGTATTGAATATATACTTTCATATACTTTAAACTAGTGTTTGTATATATTTAAATGTTCTATAATATTGTCATACAACTTGCAGAGATGCCAGTTGCACAAAATGAAATCAAGTCTAGCTGGGCTGATGAAGTTGAAGAAGAGGGAGGAGCATTACCTCCACCTTCAGAAGTCTATGAGAATGGTTTCAAAATTTTCACCGAGTACAAATACAATCAAGATAATAAAAAAGTCAAAGTTGTCCGTGCTTATAAGATAGAACGACGTATAGTGTCAAAAACGATTGCGGCGCGTAAGAATTGGGCAAAGTTCGGCGATTCTGTTGATGATAGACCGGGACCTAATCCAGCTACCACTGTCGGTGGTGAGGATGTCTTTATGCAATTTATATCCAGCAAAGAGGAAGAGAACAAAGTAGAGGAAGATTCGCTGGACAAATTGAAAAGCATGGGCGACAAGGGAGTTGTCAAATGCCGTAATTGTAATGGCGATCACTGGACGTCTAAATGTCCATACAAAGACACTGTTCTTGCTGGTGGTAGGTTTATTGTCAGAAATTGATACACAAATAAAATCAATTGATACATAAATAAAATTTCATTATATTCATAATTTCATATATCTTATATGAAAAATACTAATTTAAACTCTGGCTGAAATATAATATTTTTCGTAATAAATTACTTATGGGTTTTTTTAAAGTGCTTCTTAGCGTTATTAATACTGACAATCTAATTTGAGATTAAAATATAAATAAAAATTTTATTTATATTTTAATTATATAAATAATTTAAATTTCATCCAGTAAACGAGAATGGATTAAAATGGATTGAAATTTTTTTCTATCCGAATGCAGTATTTTAAATAGTGAATACTTTTTTTGGATTATTTTTAATTGAATTGAAAAACTGCATTTCCTAGTCAAAATTTTGAATTGAACAGTATTCACAATGTATGTATTGTGCACAGAAAAAGCTAATATTATTTTTAGATTGAAAATAGAGATATACTCCATTTTTCTATAAAAATTTCTATAAAAATAAAAATGCATTCAGGATGAAAAGCATTCATTTTAACATTCGTGAATCAATATTTCTGAAAACCTGAATCCATTTTAATTCATTTCAATCCATTTGTTGGGCAGTTATATAAATGAATATGTCAAATATATTTTTGTACAATTATAATTGTTAAAATTCTATATTTTAGGAAAAGTACCAGACGACAAGAAACCTCTCGTTAATACTGGAATACCCGGTGCAATGGCTGAACTTAAGCCACAGGGTGGCAAGTATGTGCCACCCGGTATGCGCGACGGCGGCAACAAACGCGGCGACTCGATGCAGATGCAGAGACGTGACGACACGACTGCTATACGTATTTCCAATCTCTCACAAAGCACGACTGATGCAGATCTGGATGAGCTTGTGAAACCATTCGGTTCCGTAGTGAAGCAGTTTCTCGCCAAAGAGAAGCTTTCCAATCTCTGCAAAGGTTTTGCATACGTACATTTCAAACATAGGGCCGATGCAGCGAGAGCAATCGCCACGCTGGATGGTTACGGTTATGATCATCTAATTCTGAGCGTAGAATGGTCAAAGCCACAAGCTCAGAATAATTAAAGTGATGCAAAAGGTACGACAGTTGCGAATAGGAAAGTACTTAAAATGAGAGAGATCTTCATAACAAATGAATTGTATTTATCTATGTATGTTCTTATGATATGAAATTGAAAGACAATAGAAAAATTTGTAAACTTTTTTCTATACAGATTCATTTGTTAGAGATAAATATTTCGAGACAAGTAAACAGAAAGTAATAATTAGTTAAAAACATACAAAACACACAGTCATACACATTCTCTCTAGTAGAGATTAGATAGATTAAATAAAAATTATATTTATCTTTCTTTTTCAATGGTAAGCATTCTTTCAATCTTCAAATTTTCCAAGCAATTTTTATCAGCGAGAAACTATAGATTTTCTTTCATAGCATTTATAATTGTAGCATTGTAGGAACAGTTACCGCTGATAAAATTTAAATGAGTTTCTCCAATTCCAAACTTTCAAGTGTTTCTATAATAAAAAGTAATTATTGTAAAATCAAATTTTTTAAATTGATCATATTAAAACAATGTATTTATTATGATGTCCATTGGTAATGGACTATTTTTACCAATATAGATTAATTTAATCTTGGCTCCACTTACTCTTCATCTTTTTCTTATCCTAAAAATAAAAAAAAATGAAGAATAATTTGAACTGAGATTAAAGTTAATCTACATTGGTGGAAACGGGCATAAATGTAAAATTTTGCTGTCAACAGTAAAATCAGTATTTTTTTCGCCTTTTTTGATCCCACGATTTTGAAACTGAATTGCGTATCAAATAATATTTTTTGATGAAACATTAATCACAAAAAAATTTTTAATTGAGACTAGAAGTGATTTAAGAGATATGATACCACATTTTATATAATACTGTTTAGATACGAATGGCGCTCTATATTTTTGCAGATTCAAGAAATCATTATAAAATATTTTTTCCGTTATAAGAGATCACGCTTTTAAACTCGAAAATTATATTCAAATCTTATTTTGTTCGAAATTGTATCTTATCTTATATATTTATTTATATTATTA